GATGAATCTTCGGAGATCCTGGACAGTATCGCCTACTTTGACAACACCCAAAAGATCTTCTACTCTGTAAAGGCTACCTGCTTCTTCTGACGTCTTGAAGTAGTCCTCAAACATGAGCAGAACATACCTTCCCCTGACCTGGATGCCTTTTCGGGATTGCTGCTCCTTGAAATTCAAGATCCTAGTTGCGAGGTCCCCTCCGGCTGAGCGTGTGAGCGCTGCTGATAACTTTGTATCCAGCGTGAGGAACTTTCCAGGATCTTGGAGTTTCTTCTCCAACTGCTCTCTGGTGCACTCTTGATCGTACACCTCGTTGAGCCAGAGCCATGCCTCGTCCGGGCGATCTGAACAGCTTTTCACTTCATCCCTGACATGATTCTTCCAAGTCCTATACGACTCCGGAGCGGGCATGTTGTTCAGCTTGATGATTTCGGCCTCCTTAGTTTTTGGCTTATCCTTTTCTTCCCTTTGGGTTCAGGCTTTTACCAATTCAATAAGATCTGAGGGACCCATCACTTGCTGTTGCTTGGTTGCGCTCTTAGGGGAATCATTTGGGGGAGTTTTGATAGCTTCAGTGGGAGTGAAAAACCCTGACTGCGTTGGCAATTGAGGCTGGTCGTTGCCGACAGCCGGCTTTTGCTTGGGACTGCCACCTTTGAGCAGCTCATCCAACTTGGCCTTTGCTTCTTGTGCCAACACTGCAGGCGTTTTCAACTCATGAATCGGCTCATCACTGCCTTTGGCAGCCTGTGCATCGGATGCTTTGGGAGTGGCAATATTGAAGTGGGGCACGCTAGTGGTAGCGGCCGGCTCGGCGTTCTGGACGGATGCTTTCGGAACGGAGGCATGCTGCGCTTTGGCAACATGCTTTAACTGCTCCTGAAGGTCATCGATTTGGTCCTGAAGGCTAAGGTTCTGAGCCGCTGCCTCGTTGATCTTGTCGGCCATCTCCTTCTTGTAGTTCTCGAATTCGGTCCTCAAACTGATGAACCTGGCCTGATCAATTGCAGCCTGATCTTCATATTGCTTCTTTGTGGCAGCTATGGCATTCTTTGCATGTTCAACTGTCTGTGCATAGGAAGCTTCGAATTCACTAGTAATACGTTGCCTTTCCTCTGCAATTTTCTGATCATGCTTTGTGTTTGCCTCTGCCTTAACATCCTCTATTCTTTTGTCATGCGATGCCTGAGCCTGATTCAACCTGACCTCCATCTCATCGCCTCGTTTCCTCTCCTCGTTGACGGCACTAATGGCCTTACCTTCAACCTCCTGCAGCCTTTGCTCATACTCCTGCTCTTGCATTACGAGTCTACTTGACCATTCGTTACGAATTGAGTCAACTACTCCATGCATTATCTGAAGGTGCCTCTGTTCAGCTTCCCTCATGACTTGCAGGGTATTCCCACTAGTGATCTGGGACAGGTTGTTTTGTATGAAGGTAAAGTACGCTACAACGGGTTGGAACATTGTCTCGTCGTCCATCGGCTCGGGGTTGCCCCCGGCCACATTGGGCACAGCGATAGCCGATGGACCTGACCCTGGAACGGCGAGAGGATGGTCAATTGGGGTCCCCATAGCAAAGTAGTGAGACTACGGCTGATAACCTGTATTTTACAAGGTCAGCCAACCATGTTACAATAACAATGGGGCTAAACCACAATGGGCCGCTAAGCACTTGATCCTTTTGAACCAACGCTACAGAGTAGTACGATGACATATATGATACATGGTTTTACTGCAGGAGTTTTTACACTCTGTTTCTTTGCTTTCATTGCAATGTTTGATCTTGACTTGAATTCATTGTCTTTATCTCTGGCTTTATACGGTGTTTGACCAGTAGCGGAAAGCACATCTTTTTTATTGTAAGTTAACATAATTTCATCTATGTAGCCTATCCATTGTATATTCGTTTTTTATTTTTGTTCATCGTTCTCAACTCTTTTGCATAATTTGTCTTTGACAGTTTTTATAAACCGCTCGGCAAAAGCAGGGTGGCCTCTTGTCCTATACAATTCAATGCCTTCGCTTTCTACATATGCTTGGAATTCACCACTTGCTATAGTTTTGTCGTCGTCGGTGTATATGATTTCAGGTTTCTTGCCCATCTTCTCTATCGCTTTCTTTGTTCCTTGAATAACACTGCCTGTCTCTTTCCTTCTTACTGGGACTACGATAGCATACTTACTCAAACAATCAATACAGACTAATCCAGCTCTGTATCTTTGTTTTACCTTTAATTTTTTGAGAAATAAAAAATATATCAACTTGGTATCTATGATTGTTATGTGGAGCAACAAAGCTGTTATAGCCTCTCGGGTTCATTTTTATCTCTACACTCTTTTTGAAAAAATATTCAACATTTTTCATAGTAATAGATTTGTTTTTCTCTCTTGCATCCTTCAAAGTAGTGTTTTTGGAACCAAACCCTGCTTTATAAAAGTATATGTTTCCTATGATTTCTTGCTTACTCATATCAATATTTTATTAAGTTTATTCTATTGAAAAAAAACTAATGTGAAGAAGAATTGCAGTGGCAACAATAAGCCTCGCAGTTGTCAATAGAATGGCACAGTCCATTGTCACCTCTCTGCGCCGTTAAAGTTACTTGACAATTTGCCACCTCTGGTATCAAGATTAAATTTAACTCCACAGTTTGCACAACAACCCTTGAACATCTTCAAACATGTTCATCAATGTATTCATCAACTATTTCTCTTCCTCCTTTTCTGTCTTGTCCTTTGTGACCTTCAACCTTGTTTTTAAAATAGTTAACCACCAAATTCTTAAACATATCTTCGTCGGCTTTATCATTTTTGAAAAATATACATTATTGAAATCTGTTGCTCTGGTTACAGCACACCATAGCCATTCTTTGCTCACCAAATAGTCGTTGTAATAGTTGTTTCCAATCCTGAACTTGTAGAGTTCATCACCACTCTCTTTCTTTTTGAGTGATTTTAGGTTATGGTTCAAAGTGTATATGTGGCTGTTCTTAATCAATCCGTTGAAGTTATGTAGCTATGGCAGTTGAAGTTTACAGGGTTATGTTTGTAAATCAAGTTGCTGTCAATGTCATATACTCTTGCTTGGATATTGAAATGTTTAAAACTTTATCCGTCCATTTCATTGATTGATGACTCTGCCACACCCAGCCGCTCTGCCAGAGTGGCTGATGCAGCCACTCAGCCACTCTGCCAGAGTGGCTGGAGCAGCCACTCAGCCACTCAGCCACTCAGCCACTCAGCCACTCAGCCATTCTGCCACAGTCGCAGCCACTAAGCCACTCAGCCACTCTGCCAAAGTGGCTGACGCAGCCACTCAGGCACTCAGCCACTCAGCCATTCTGCCACAGTCGCTGCCAGAGTGGCTGGAGCAGCCACTCAGCCACTCTGCCAGAGTGGCTGGAGGAGCAGGCACTCAGCCACTCAGTCACTCTGCCAGAGTGGCTGGAGCAGCCACTCAGCCACTCACCCACTCTGCCAGAGTAGCTGGAGCAGCCACTCAGTGGCTGGAGCAGCCACTCAGCCACTCTGCCACAGTCGCTGGAGCCACTCAGCCACTCAGTCACTCAGAGTGGCTGAGTGGCTGAGTGGCTGCGTCAGCCACTCTGCCAGAGTGGCTGAGTGGCTGAGTGGCTGATGTGAAAATTTCCGCCATTGCGCGTTCAATCTAATATTGTATTATGTATATATATATATATATAGACATACATATATTATCATTATATATATATACATATATATTTAATATATTATCCTTACATAATATATATATATATATATCATTATCTGTGTATATAATTTGTTTGAACAATAATGATATATCAAAATATAGATATCGCTAATATGGTTCAATATTGATACATCATGGGGATGATATGATTAATCAACCATCTGAGAATCTGATAAATAAGAACAATATAAAAAATACATGTATATTGTATATGATATATTGTGAGTGGAACATGGTTGATTATTCATATTCAAGCTAACGTATAATTTGTTAATATCAAACATTTATATAATATCATTATCAACTGGTTGATAATTAAAAGCATGATCAATATGAATGGAATATAACTGACAATCATCAACACTCTTATATATATATATATACACAGGCAACATATATATATATATATACATATTTCAGTACATGTCTGTACCGGTGGACAAAAAACACAATCTAGTTAGTCTGCATGTTAAATGTTAGCTATATATATATATATAATCATATATTATTATGCTATATACTTTGTAATTCAGAAAAAAACACAACACACAATATTGCGTCATTGATGTTAAACAGGAGAATCATTGATAAGTCTGGAGAATTTGACTGAAGAACCAAACGGTTTGCCCACATACCCAATAGGAAATGTTCACCCTATATTCTCTACATTGACTCTATATGTTGTTTGAGTCATCCCTTCATGAATCAGTATGGCTTCACCAACCGAATGTGATTTATAGATCGGGGGTTGGGGTTGATGTGCCTCTGTTGTCGATCATCGTCTATGTTTCTGTAGAATTTTGGCCGGCAAACCGATGGATTGAAGTACCTTCGCAGTATCGGGGGTCCTTTTTTGGGGTTTCCAAGATATGTTAGTTAACAACCTTCTCAGAAAAAAAAACATATATAAATCCATCTAGAATCTAAGGTCTGTTGTAGAACTGATTGGTTAAGGGTGGAATCTCATAATCCATCACGTATCAAAAAATGTAGTGCAGTCCAATCCGCACGAACCATTCCCTCTTGGAGAGTCTTGGCTGCCGACTTGGGTTGATTTTTTGCTGTCGGCAGGTATCGACACATATACCTAGAAGAACAACAATAGTTAAGTGACAATGGCTTAAATGCTTGTGGAACACTTTCACAAGCACTTGAACATATGGTGTATGCTTGGTGGTTTGTAGGTAGACTTTCATCATCCACCACACAGCGAATCTGCCACAACTCGACCATCAAAAAAAACATCTCCGCCACAGCGATCGGGCGGCGGGTGTGGGCTCGGGCGCCAACATGTAGAAACGAGATCGGGTAAAAAGGTGTACCTCGGTGAACGGGCCGCTGGGCTTCTGGGCTGCTGTTTCACTCGATGAACATAGCCTCTGGTGTCAAACATGGCAACTGAAGCACCTAATGGCAACTGAACTTTATGCTTTAACTATTAAGTTTTAGTGGAAAGTCATCGAATTCAATGGTGGATTTTCCTCAGCCTGGACATGCCTGGACTGATCACTCATTATCCATGGGTTTTACATCACCCAATTTATCCGGCATATCCCATCAGAACTCCGATCTTCGTGGGCAATGATCCACACATTTAAATATGTTGGATAGTGAAATCATGTTTTTTGTCATTTCTGATGGTGAAATATGGGGATGGGTCAAACCCGTCAAAATCTATTATTGCGTAAGTTCTTTGGGGGAACCAACATCCATTCACCATCGATTCTAGGGTATCTAGGGTACCAGGGTTTTGACTTGTAGCCATCTAAATAAAAACAAAAAAAAACATATCTGGCTGGTGGTTTCAACCCCTCTGAAAAATATGAGTTCGTCGATGGAAAGGATTATCCCATATATTATTGGGAAAAAAATGTTTGAGACCACCAACCAGTGTTTGTTGGTTTATAAACCATTATAATCCCCATTAACTATAGTATACTATAGTTATATCTACCATAAACCATAGTTAATCCACATATTCCAAACCACCAACCAGATATTATAGTCCTGGTGAGATCCCACCCTGCAATGACCTAGCGGCACAAACACCATGCTGCACGCGCCCGGCGCGCCCGGCACGTTGCAGGAGATTGGCCTGACTGGCCCACACCACCTGACCGGGGCTCAGTGAGGCCAGGATTTCCCCGGGTGGTTTCTCTAAAATGGGGTATACACGGTATACACCAAGTCACCATGATACTCAAATGGTCTAACCTGGATGATTTGGGGTACCCCTATTTTGGAATACCAAATGAGCCGCGTAGCCTACCTCTGCGGCTCGCAGCCTCGCGTAGCCTCTCGCGAAGTTTCACCTGTTTTGTAGCCTCGCGTAGCCTCTCGCGTAATCTGCGCAGAGGCGATTTGGAAAAAAACACGGCTCAAATGGCTCAAATGGGGATATTCCGCTTAGTCAACAGGTTATACCCCACATATTCCATACATAACTGGGAATATATTCCAGTTTGTATCTTTTTTTCACCAAAGTATAACTGGAGAACACGGGTTAGGTTCCCACTTACAAACTGGCATGAAACACCAAGGGCCTTTGGGGAATATATACCAAGCAACCAACATATTGAGGAAACGGTTGGAAACACGAGTGAAATATGCTCTAATTAGACTAAATTGAAGGAGCATTGCGCATTGTGAACAATGAGGGAAGAAGTGCGAAACTACGGAGAAATGGTTGGAACATGTTGGAAACGATTATAATAGAAGAACTGGAGAAAAACTTCGGACAAACTGTTGGAAGTACTGAAAAGAAGTCCGCCTCGCTGAAAAAATGGATTTCGGTTGGGGGATCATCATACCATCTGTAGGGCTGGAAAGTGAAAACTATTTCAATCCACTAGGATAAAACCAGAACCGGGATAATCTCATCAGATCCGAGTGAGAGTTTGACCCAACAAATTTGTGAAGCAACAACATTGAGGTTGAACCAAGGACATCTTACCAAGGACATCCAAGGACCATACTATCTTGTGACAAACAATCATCACACAGAATCTAATCAAAGTGGGTGTTTGAACCAGAACTAACAACAATTTTGGCGAACCAACAGCAAAATGATACAACATGGGGATGATGACCAAGAAACGTGATATATTAACCAAACAACAAACAAATTTATGGTGGTAGTCAACAATTGTAGAACGGAAGTTGAGGAGTACGAAAGTATGGTTAAATACTCGTACCCTCTGGTTCCATAATTCCTGATTCCTCACAAAACTGGGAAACAAGACTCGGCTTACTCCTATTTTTTTTCTATAATTCTTGTTGGGCTCCGGTTGTGTTCCATAATTGCGTTGTCCACCATTTTTTCACCTTTACCAATTCTGTTCTATAATTGCGTGTTCTATAACTAAGTGTGCTATAATTATGTGTTCTATATTTTTCTGGGGTCCCAGTAAGATCAAATGATGTATATGCATGTACCCTTCAAGACTCACACACTCTGCAGTCAGGCAGTCAGTGCCAGAATCATAGAACGGCCAAATCAATTATAGAACAGGCATCCGAATCAGTGGTTCAACCAGTCGATGACAAACAACCGACACACAACCAACAACTGATGGGAAAAATCATATAACAATGGCTATATATTTGATATAATCTCATAATGTGGATAAAACAATGAAAAACCACCCATTTGGGAATTGTTCAGACCAGCTCTTTATGGTGCTTTGTTGGGGATGGTTGTGTGTTGTGATAAATCATGTCATCATGTCCAAACAAGTCCATCTGGTTGGTGGTATACCTACCCCTCTGAAAAATATGAGTTCGTCACTTGGGATGATTATTCCCAATATATTATTGCGAAGAGTGCATCACCATTCTTGGTCAGACTCCATTTCATCATGGCCGCATGCCATGGCTCAAGGGGTACTAGCCGAATAGGCAATGCGCTGAGGATAGAAACCAAGGGTGCGATCAGTCCGTGCTCCAGCTGTCACGCAGTGGCAGCGGAGCCAGGCTACGATCCAGGGGTGTTTCTTTTTCGGATAGTGCTGCTATGGCAACCGTACCTGTGCCGAACGAGGATTCTTCTGAGGAACCTCAGCCTGGTCGGTCAGACCCGACACCTAGGGCTGCATCTGATGCTTCAAGCGGTGATCCATGGGCAAGATCTGGGAACGATCCCTGGGCTGATGGGCGTAGGCGCGAGGTGCCAGTCCGAGCGCCAGTGCTGGAGGAGGAGTTTCTGCAATTTCTTCAGTGGCGTCAAGCCCAGCCGAACCAGGCCTATGGCATGGGACATCAACATGGAGGCGCAGGTGCTGCGGGACAAGGTCTATGGCATTTTGCCAGGGACGAACATGAGAGGACGACGGCGGGACCGCCACCAGAGTGGGATGGAGTTAGCACCGAGTTCAAGGACTACAAGATCAAGGCCAGAATTTGGCTGAGAACTACTAGGACTCCGGCCCATGCTCGGGGACCACTCCTACTCAAAAGTCTTACCAAGGGTCCATGGGAAGATTTGAAGTTTTTAGCAAATGACGATGAATGGATGGCAGATCCTGACAATGGCAACAAACTGATCACTATGATGGATTCCAAAGAATTCTATGGGGAAGAAAAACGTGAGTCAATGTTAGCTGCATGTGCTAGGTTGACATATCACTTGAGGCGTCAACGAGGTGAAACGGCCAGAGCCTTCATGACCCGTTGGGACACTGCAGAACGAAAAATTCGAGAACATGATGTACGACTTCCTCAAGAATATCTTGGCTTCCTCATGGTGAATGCCCTCCAGCTGGACTCCGAGAAGACCAAGCTCTTGCTCAACTACACGAAGGGTTCCTTGCAGGTAGCTGATGTGAAAAGTTGGCTCCGAGTCCATGAGACTGACTTGGATATGAACCATTTGGGCAGCGATCGCAAGAAGGCTTCAGTGAACTACCTGGCGGACCCCGAGGACACCAAGGAGATCCAGCTCGTGGACCTTGACGACGAGGAGGACATGATGGAGAATGACCAGACGGACATCCTGCTCACCACCATGGCAGACTTGGAGGAGCCCAAGAACAACAGCACGGACGATATGGTCACCCTGACTGAGTCCGAGATGAAGGACATCTTGATGACGATGCTGAAGGATTCCAAGCATCGTGGTCGAAACTATGCTGGTGCCCTGAAGGCCAAGAAGAATCGGGATCTTGCTCGTGGCTATGGAGCAGGACGAGATGGATTGATGAAACCAGGAACCTATGAGGTGTCCATCTCAGAGCTGAAGAAAAGAACCAAATGCAATGCGTGCGGGGCCGTGGGCCACTGGGCTCGTGAGTGCCCCAAGCCCAAGACTGATTCTTCCAAGCCAAAATCCAAGGAGGTGAACTTCCTTGTGCAGGACCAAAGCAGTTTTGCTGAGAGCGAGTTTTTCTATTTAGAAGAAGATGTAGCAGCTGGCAGCAAGGAATCTGTCCATGACTGCCATGACTTTTCGCAATCTGATCGAGCATACATGGCGTGTCCTGCGGCTATTCAGTGTTTTCACATGACAACAATGATCGAAGATGATGGTTGTGCAACTATTGATACTGGGTGTCAACGTATGGCTATTGGTCTTAACACATTGAATAAACTGATGAATTTTCAACCTTCGGAACTTCCCATCACATTTTGCGATGAAGTCCATCAATTCAGCAGCGTTCACAAGGTCTCATGCACCACACAATTAGCATGTATTCCATGTAGTTTGGGAGTGCGTGGAAGTATTCTTCGACCGGCACTTTTTGAGGAAGAACATTGTGCTGATGCTCCATTTTTACTCTCATTACCATTTTTATTACACTGCCGAGCTATTCTTCATTTGGATGAGGACAAAGGGTTGAGCTTGGTTTCACAGCGATTTGGATTCAAGGTATCATGCCATTTGGGACCTACAGGTGCATTGCGAATTCCTATTCAACAATTTACAGATTCAATGAAGAAATTTTTGAGCACAAAGGTTTCCAAAAAGCGAGATGAATATGAATTGATGCAGACCATGACCGAGAAGATCAATCACCGATCTATGTCTTGCACAACGCAATCTAGTGGCTCAGAAGGTGGATCACGGAAGTATCCAGCCCTGGGAGCAGCCCCACGTTCCAACTGCTCTGATGCATGGCCCGCGGCAGAAGCGGGGTCGCAGCGATGGCGACATGCCTCCGGCGGTGACTCAGGCTTGGGTCCGAATGACCTTGAAAGCCATCATGATCATCAGCCGAGCCATTCAACATCGAGTTCAACACCATCTTCAAATTCCTGGGCCAAGAGGAGTTCTTGCCAGGCAGATGATCGAGATGGGGGACTTGTTGGAGACTGTCCATTTGGAGCAGGTGGTGGACCAACTGAGCCAAGCTCTTCATCAGAAGTCGTTGGCCGAGAACTATTCACGGTCTCCAACGCCATCGGAATGGTCTCGAGTGACTTCGCTCAAGGACTCTCACCTCAGGAAGTCCCCATCGAATCGACCGGCACCAACGACACCAAGGTCATCAACTTCGAGGCCAACAACGGAGGAACCAGATCAACGCCGTGCCAGCATGTGGGAGATCCCGCAGGACTTGGATGTGAATCGAGAGGCCCCTCTATGTCACTGCCAGCAAGGAGCCCTACTGTGGATTTCGAAGACGGAGAACAATCCAGACCGCCTGTTTTGGCGATGCGGCAGGGAACGATCCCAGCAGTGCAGTTTCTTCCAGTGGCTGACTTTTCAACCACTTCAAAGAGACTTGAACCAGAACCCCAACACCGAGTACTTCACCAAGAGACAGCAGGAGATTTGCCCACACACGAGGCGAGATCGCCGAGGTACCAATGGACTCAAGAGCAAGGAGAAGTGCCTGGACTGCGGCAAGCTGCTGGTCGACGAGAAGACTCCACTGGGGCTCATGGTTCAACAAGAACGGCAGAATCGCAAGGCTCCAACGACACCTCTCTCTCAGAGTTCCACCGAAGGCCAGAACAAGTTGAAGCAGGAGAACAAGGAGTTCCAGGAGTTTTTGCTGTGGCGTCAGGCCCAACAGCAACAGATGGAGAACCAGACCAGCGGTTCCCGCGGAGCGTCAAGTCGACACGGCCTGTTCATGTGATGGAGACGGAAGCTGAGCCAGTGAAGCCGGGGTTGCGGCGACACATTTTTGGCTGTTTGAAGCGTGCTGAGACCTCCTGGTTGGAGTTACACAGGTTGATTTGTGAAACTTCTGAGAACCATTTGGAAAGTACTTGCAAGTTGATTCGTGAATCGCTTCAGTTACAACAGCCACATATGAGACATATGGCGGATCTATATCTTTTGCAGCCAAAACAATTGAAGACTGTTGCGGAAGTTTGCAACCCAGGTCGGTTTGGACCCCAAACAGATTTTTATGGACTTCGAGCGGGACAAGCATTTGATTTGGAACTGGGTTGGAATTTACTTCAATCATCTGAACAAGAAAAAGTTTTGAACTATATTCAAACTGAACGACCTGGACTCACAGTGATTTCGCCACCATGTGTCAAATTCAGCATGCTGCTCAACCTATCACTTCCTAAGTGGACTGAAAACCCCGAAAGGTTTGATCAACACCTTCGAGAACTTCGGGATGCCAACAAACTGTTGAAATTTTGTGTGAAAGTTTGTCAACTTTGCAGATCACTGGGCTTGAGTTTCTTATTTGAACATCCATGGTCGGCCAGCTCATGGAATGAACCATGTTTGCAACAACTTGTTTCAGCAACTGATTGTCATTTAGCTCGTGGAGACCAGTGCATGTTTGGTTTGGTGACAACTGATGGTGAATCTATGAGAAAACGTTCTGGCTTTCTTACCAACAATTTTCAGATTGCACAACAATTGAATCAGACCTGTGATCAATCGCACACCCACCAACACGTCATGGGACGCGACCGTGGGGCATCAATCAATCGCTCAAGACTGGCCCAGAAGTACCCCATCAAGCTGGTGTCAGCGATTTTGATTGCCTTTGCCAATTCGATAGGTATCTCCTCAGATCTGCTCTACATTGTCGATGGCCAGAAGACTCTGGAATGGGAACAGCACCTGGAGCAGAATCTACTTCTTTCTGAGGAGAACCTGATGAACCAAGCTCGAGACAAAGCTGATCCTGACCCTGCTCGAGCCCCACGAGCTGGTCCTAAAGAACCACGACATCCCTGTGTATGTCTCGATGATCCTTCTGAAGTTCATGCAGTACAATGCAGAGTCCCTTGCTGGTGATGCGGAGATCGATCCTGACCACCAGATAAACCAGAGCCAGAACATTTTCCTGGAAGTCATCCTCTCTCCTTAGAGGCTTTGGTGAGAAGGGCTCATGATGGTCTTGGACATCCTGGGCGGGACCGGTTCTTGCGAATTCTGAAGAATAGTAAGGCCAGCCAAAAGGTCATGGACATTGCCAAGAATCTCAAATGCTCAGTTTGTGAAAAGTTCAAACTCCCACGACCATCTCGTGTTGGAGCACCTCCAAGGGAGATTGGCTTGAATGAAGTGGTTGGCATCGACACCTTCCAGCTCAGGGTTCCCTTTTCAAACAAGACCAAGTACTGCTTGAACGTGGTGGACTATGGTAGCCACTTTCAACTGGTGATTCCCTTGACTGGGCATACAGCTCATGAAACTCGAGCTGGTTATCGACTGTGGCTGAAGATTTTTGGTCCACCACGAAAGCTGCTGTGCGACTTAGGTCGTGAGTTCCAGAAGAAGTTTGAGAATCTGGCTGAGTCAGATGGAACTGAACTTCTACCTTCATCCTTGGAGACTCCTGAACAGAGAGGTCTCGTCGAACGTCAAGGGCAACTGTACACAAGGAGATGTTCTACAAGACTATGGAGCAGATCCAATGCACTGACTGGCCCACCTGGTTTCAGACGATCGACCTGGTCTGCTTCACCAAGAATCGATTGCTTTCCAGAGGTGGCTTTTCACCGGCGCAAAGGGTTTTTGGGTACCAACAACGAATCCCAGGTGGCCTGATGTCAGGAGGCGAATCTGATCTAGCAGTGCAAAGTCTTGCTGCCATTGGTGACACTACCGTGGCCAAGGCCATGAATATCCGGAAGGCGGCATCTGTGGCCTTCCATGAGGTAGAATGTCAACAGGCAGTCAGAGCTGCTGCTACTCATGGTCCTCGTCCTCATTATGACTATGAAACTGGCCAAGCAGTCTACTTCTGGAGAAGAAGCACAGATACAGCTCGAAAACCACCTACGTATTTCTGGCATGGACCAGCACGTGTGGTGGCCACCCAATTGCCCACCACGGTTTGGTTGTCGTTCAACCACCACCTCATCAAGGCCTCACCAGAAAAGATTCGACCAGCTGCAGAAGAGGAATTCCTGTCACTGTCAGGTTGGCTTGAAGGTATCTCCAATGCCAAGCGTCAGTTCGAGACCGAGAATGTCAAGGGCATCATCGACTTGTCTAAAGACCAAGATGCTCCGGTTCCAGATGGAGATCGAGATTACTGGCGACAAGAAGGAGATTTTTGGATCCGAGTTCATGTCCAACCACGAAAAGAACTTTATCAACCTGACGATGATGACATGGAACTTCCATTTTTCACTCAGCAGTTGAAACCATGGAGAAAGTCCTGCATGACCTTAGAGAATGGCACTGAAGAGATTTTGGAGGACCGTGGGAACCTTGGAGCCAACGTTCCACTCCATGGAGAGCTCTGGACTGGCGAGACGTGGTTTGAAATGGGTGATGGCAGTCAGCCATCCACCCAACTTTTCAAAAGAGAAGCTCAACCAGATCCACTTCCACGACGGTTGAGGCAGAAGACCAGACCTAGTGAAGTGGAACCTTCGCCTGAAAAGGCTGAGGCGCCGCCAGTCGGAGCACCTCCGGGCCTTGAACCGCCAATTCCATTGGCCGAGGACGACAAGAATTCTGACCTTTCGGTCTACCCTGAATCACCTCTGCCGGAGGAAAGCATCAAAAATGATGGGGATGGTTCGATCGTCCAGGAGAGCATCAAGCCAGAAGATGTGCCCATCCCACCTTCAGTTGAAGGAGATCGAAAACGGGATCATGATGATGTTAGCCAGACGGATTCTGCCTGGGAAGCTATTCCAGTGTCAAAACGAAGCAGACTAGACCTCCTCGACCTGTACTACACAGAACTAGCAAACAAGTCAGCACAACGTCAGAAGAAAGGAAAAGAATCTACCTTCCGAGATTTCTCTGGAAGAGATGCTGAGCGTTTACAAAGGGCGATCCACAAGGAGCTCAAAGGAGCTCAACAACAACTTGGCTACTGGAGCCTATGAAATTCTGGATCCAGTAACTTCAGCTTTGATCCGGAAGAATGCCCCGGATAAGATCATGAAGTCCCGCTATGTTCTGACGAAGAAGCCCATTGAGGACTTTGCCGTTGAGGATGCAATGTCAGCTGATGAGGTATTGGACTCATCCCCACCAGGACAGCCATGCAAGGCGAAATGTCGCCATGTGATGCAGGGCTACTCTGAGTCAGCCTTGCTGGAACTGGAGACAAGCACTCCTCAAGTGCACCGAGATTCAGTGATTTTTGCGGCTCAGATCATGTCAAGTATGGGTTGGACACCAGGTTTTGCAGATTTTACTCAGGCTTTTCATTCAGGCGATCCCATTGATCGTGAACTGTATGCGGAACAACCAGTAGAAGGTCTTCCAGGGGTGAGCAAGACGCAGCTGATCAAACTCCTCAAGACTTGCTATGGACTCACTGATGGCCCATATCAATGGTTCAAACACATCGTTCGATTTCTATGCGATGAACTTCAGTATCGACAGTCTGTTGTAGATCCCTGCTTATTCTTTCTGGATTCACCATTGGATGAGAATGGACAATCACATATTGAAGGTATTCTGGCATTAGCAACCGACGATTTATTTCATGGTGGTTCAACTCGTCACCTTAGCAAGATGGAAATCATTCGCAGTCGGTACAAACTGGGGAAGTTTACATGGCAATCTGGAAGATTTGTAGGCAAGGATATTCATCAACGAGAAGATGGTTCTATTCAACTTGATCAACAATTCTACACGGAATCCAAGGTTACTGTTATTCCCCTGAGTCGCGATAGAAAACGTCGAAAATTTTCAGTTTGCAATCCTGATGAAGTTGAACAACTACGAGCACTTGTTGGTACTCTTTCTTGGCTTTCCAAGGAGACAAGATGTGATTTAGCTGGTAAGACTGCTCTTCTACAACAAGCGTTTCCCAAGCCTTTAGTTAGAGATATCATCACAGCCAACCAGCTTGCCAAGGAAGCGTTGGAGCACAAGGACCTCGGCATACGAGTGATGCCAATTCCTCTTGAACGACTTCGAGCTGGTGTGATCAAAGATGCATCATGGGGCAATTCCAAGGAGTTCGGCAGCTACCTAGAGCAAGATTCTGGAGATTGGTGGGAAGAAACCTCCCAGTGTTGGATTCGCCACCATCGTGTTGCACGACGTTTGGCTTTTCATCCAGCAGCATGTCCTGACGGGCCAGACCTCCATGATATCACCACCCAGCGTATCACAGAGATGACGATTGACAACAGAAGTCACCATCTTGATGATTCCTGGAACACAAGCGACAGTTTGAAGCCACTATCAACATCTAACTGGACTGGCACCACAACTTTCTTCAAGCAGGAAGAGAACAAGGTGCTGGACTCCAAAGAGATTCATGCCGGTTACGACCAGCTGAACAAGCTCTACAGCCAGGGCGGAGAGATTGTCATCTTCTATGACCAGGCGCTCCCCGAGTCACAGAACTTGCAAAATGTTTCCATCGCCGCGTGGAAGAGCTATCGGCTTAAGCGGCAGACGGTAAACACCTTGAGCTCCGAGACTCAGGCCTTGGTACGTGGCCTTGGATCTGTTCATTGGTATCGGATCCTGATTCTTGAAGCTCGAGGACTCCAACCTTCTGCTCGTGAATGGCATCGTGAAGTATCCCGACTTCCCTTCATTTGCATCACAGACTCCATGTCTCTCTACGATGCGGTGAGTAAGTACACCAATCCGGCCTCTCAATGTGGCGACAAGCGAACTTCCATAGACATCTCCTTGATCAAACAGGAGATCAACGAGCTCAACGGCAAGATCCGATGGATCGACGGCAGAACTATGTTGGCCGACCCTCTCACCAAGGAGTCCAAGTCAGACTTGCTTCGCCACGTGATTCGCACAGGCCAGTGGGCGATTTTAGAAGAGGGATCAGCTCTTCAAAGAAAGCTCATTGAACGAACATCTCAATACGAGGTGCATTTTATCTTTTGAGTCTGACCAACATAAAGTATAGTCGGTGCGAAGAGTGCATCACCATTCTTGGTCAGACTCCATTTCATCATGGCCGCATGCCATGGCTCAAGGGGTACTAGCCGAATAGGCAATGCGCTGAGGATAGAAACCAAGGGTGCGATCAGTCCGTGCTCCAGCTGTCACGCAATTATATATATATATATATGGAAACATAAAATTCATGTTCCAAACCACCAAGCAGTATTGTTCCCAATATATGGAAAAATAAAAATGTTCCAAACGACCAACAAGCCATTAAAAAAAAAAAACACATCATGCCCCAATAGCCATGGCATGCCATGGCCCCACGAACAATCCGCTTTCCATAGCAGGGCCCCGCCGCCTCGAGGTTGGTGTGTTTCTTGACTCGTGCCAGGCCGCTGTCAACCACACAAATGATGTCAGGGATGGTGATGGACGTCCTGGGTGCCCAGAAATCACATGGCAATGATAAATGCTGGTTTTAATATGTTTTAATATGTTTCAATATGGTTCAATATGTTTTAACATTGTTTAAAATGTTTTAGTTTTAATATGGTTCAATATGTTTTAATATGTTTCGATATGTTTTAATATGTTTTAATGTGTCTCAATATGGTTCAATATGTTTTAAAATTGTTCAATATGTGTTTAAATGTTTTTAATATGATTTAATATGTTGTAATGGGAACATGGACACTACGGGAGATTGTCCATTGCATCGTTTAATTATCGGAGGGTCGTTCGAAAAACTGGCACTTCGGATCCGGGTAATCTGTGGAAATGATGATCACCCAATTACCAAGTGCAACAAACTAGACGACGGTTGGCCCGAGAGCGAAAAAGCCGTTTTTCAAGCAGCTCTGAGTATGGTAGTCGTAAAAAATAGTCGGTGATAGGTTGGTGAATTTTATATGAGCTATGGAGGGGTAAGTTGTGAAAAGTAAGATTGGTTAAGAAGAGGATACATGTGACAACCCATGCATATGCACTGTGCTGCTTGGTAAAGGGCATCATATGACACGTGTCTTGCAACCACAGAGAGACATAGATAGAGAGAAAGGGAGAGAGAGAGAGAGATAGAGAGAGAGAGAGGGAGAGAGAGAGAGAGAGAGGGAGAGAGAGAGAGAAAGAAAGAGGGAGAGAGAGAGAGAGAGCAGGGTCTTCTGTTGTTAGTATTGAGACACTATATTGCAAGACAATATATTAAAGATGTATTTTAGGCAGGCGAGACAAGTAGTATCAAGACAATATATTACAAGTACAAAACACTAGTTTGCATCCTATCCTTCGTATTGTTTTTCACACGCAGACGCTTTTGCACAGAAGCTGTTACACACAGACGCATTTACACACAGACGCTTTTACACACAGACGCTTTTACACACAGACGCTTTTACACACAGACGCTTTTACACACAATTTTCACACACACAGGCTTTTACACACAGAAGCTTTTACACACAAACACTTTCACACACAGAGGCTTTTACACAGAGGCTTTTACACGCAGACGCTTTTACACAAAGAAGCTTTTACACACAGACTCCTTTACACACAGACGCTTTTACACATACACACAGACGCGTTTACACACAGAGGCTTTTACACACAGACGCTTTTACACACAGACACTTTTACACGCAGACGCTTTTATACACAGGCGCTTTTACAGGCAGATGCTTTTACACGCAAAGACTTTCACAGACGCGTTTACACACAGACCCTTTTACACACAGACCCTTTTACACAGACGCTTTTACACACAACACTTTTACACACAACACTTTTACACACAGAAGCTTTTACACACAGAGGCTTTTATACACAGAAGCTTTTACACACAGACACTTTTACACACAGACACTTTCACACACAGACTTTTACACACAGGCGCTTTTACACACAGACGCTTTTACACACAGACGATTTTACTTTTACACACAGACGATTTTACACACAGACGCTTTTACACACAGACCCTTTTACACACAGACCTTTTACACACAGACGCTTTTACACACAGACGCTTTTACACACAGACACTTTTACACACAGACACTTTTACACACAGACGCGCTTTTACACACAGACGCTTTTACACACAGACGCTTTTACACACAGCTTTTACACACACTTTTACACACAGACGCTTTTACACACAGACACTTTTACACACAGACACTTTTACACACAGAGGCTTTTACACACAGCTTTTACACACAGACGCTTTTACACACAGACACTTTTACACGCAGACGCTTTTACACACAGAGCTTTTACACACAGACGATTTTACACACAGACGCTTTTACACACAGACGCTTTTACACACAGACGCTTTTACACACAGACGCTTTTACACACAGACTTTTACACACAGACACTTTTACACACAACACTTTCACACACAGAGGCTTTTACACACAGAAGCTTTTACACACAGAGGCTTTTACACACAGAAGCTTTTACACACAGGCGCTTTTACACACAGACGTTTTTACACACAGGCGCTTTTACACACAGAAGCTTTTACACACAGACGCTTTTACACACAGACGCTTTTACACACAGACGCTTTTACACACAACACTTTCACACACAGAGGCTTTTACACACAGAAGCTTTTACACACAGGCGCTTTTACACACAGAAGCTTTTACACACAGGCGCTTTTACACACAGCACTTTCACACACAGAGGCTTTTACACACAGAAGCTTGTACACACAGGCGCTTTTACACACAGACGCTTTTACACACAGACACTTTTACACACAGAAGCTTTTACACACAGGCGCTTTTACACACAGACGCTTTTACACACAAACGCTTTTACACACAGACGCTTTTACACACAGACGCTTTTACACACAGAAGCTTTTACACACAGACGCTTTTACACACAGAAGCTTTTACACACAGAAGCTTTTTCACACAGAAGCTTTTTACACACAGACGCTTTTACACACAGACGCTTTTACACACAGACGCTTTTACACACAGACGCTTTTACACACAGACGCTTTTACACACAGAAGCTTTTACACACAGACGCTTTTACACACAGAAGCTTTTACACACAGAGACTTTTACACGCAGACGCTTTTACACACAGACGCTTTTACACACAGACGCTTTTACA